CAAGTGGGGCAGCCCAGATGCCGAGCCAAGGCTCTCGGCTGTTAGCTGGATGCCTCGAAGCCAGAGGAGAGAGGATGTCCTTCAGGGAAGGTCGCTCTGCCTGGCCCAGAGAAGGTGCCACTGGTGGGGGGATCCCGCTCCAGGCGCTGGGAATCGCTCCCTGCCTGCAGCAAGCCTGCAATCACCCCAGTCACCAGCAATCCCCACCCCACAGGGCCAGCGGGGAAGGGAGAGAAGGGAAAAATACCTGCTTGACAACCACTTGGCACTGTTTTCTCAGAAAAAATTGAGCTCTTCTCTGCAGAGGGGCCAGCAGAGTCACTCGGGGACACAGCCGCAGCCCTTCGGCACTGCTGGCAGGAAGGGGAAGAGGGTTTTGGGGGACAGGGGGAGGGTGCTGCCCCTGCAATGGTCACACAGCACATGAAGGCATCAGCACACACAGGTTCAGCTAATGACCTCAAAGCCCATTAGCGAACAGCTTCTAGGGTCATCACCAGCCACCCCCTGACCAGCCCATCCCAGGGACCCCAGCTCTGCTACCCAGGGCAGGAGGATACAGAAGGTGAACGGGGAAGGTGAGCAGAGCCCCAGGGACCGACACAAACCAAGGCAGCACAGCCTGGCTGGCACTGCCACCGCCACCCCCTGCAAACCCGCCCACCTGCTGCCCAGTTTGGGAGCTGGAGAGGGGCAGGAGGTGGCACCAGCCCTCTGTCACTCCTGTGCCTGCAAAAGTGTCCCTCTCCTGGGGATGGAGCAGCAGGTCTCCGTGCAGCTCTGATGAGAAGTAGGCACCTGGAAAGCAATTTCAGCTTCTCCAGTGTAAGGGTAATTTCACATGCTGATACACAAGCACTTGATTTCCATACAAAAAGCTCCTTTTGATTTCAGTTTTTGAAGGATCCTTTCAGGCCAGAGGAAATTATTCCTAAGGGCCTGGAAGCAGCCGAGCTCTCACATGGTGTGGGGAAGGCAGGGCTGAAGCACCCCTTGTGCTGGCCATGCAGCTCAAGCCTGGTGGGAAGGCACAGATAGGCTTTCAGCTCTCCAGCGTCCCCAGGACCAGTGAAAACTGACCCCCACATTCCCCACCTTGTTCGGAGGGTACTCAGCCCACTTTCAGAAGGTGCCGGTGTATGGGGTGAGCTGAGCAGCTGAGATCCATGACACAGAGCACCCACTGTGGGCACAGCAAGCAATCCTGCCTGCCTCCCCTGGGCTGTACTGGTGGTTCCTGCCCTCCTGAGGGGACTTGGTGCCCTTCCCTGCTAGCCAGGAGAGACTTCAGAGCTGGGGAAATGAAACAGAAAAAAGAATCAAATACCAGCAGAGTGCTACAAATCAGGGAGCCAGAAACACCCACCTCCAGCTCATCACAGTTCTCTGCAGCCCAGGTGCTGCCCCATCAGCAGGACAGACCTCTCTGCCTGCCTGCTCCCTGCCACCGAGGGGTGGAGTAATGGTGGAGAAATCCTACCGTGCCTGCAGCAGTGAAACGGGTTTAACAGCTCCTCCCTCCGCACCATCCCACCACAGGCCATCCATCTTGTGAAACAGGCTGAGGGGCAGAGCCCAGCTGCAGGAGCCAGCTTTTGGCAGGGCTGGCACCACCATCCTCATCTGGACACCTCCTGCTGCCACACACAGCCCTTCACCTCCCATCTCAGCCCCATCCTTGGGGGAAACCACCACGGGGAAAGGTCTTACACGGCGCTGAGATCAGGGTGGGCTGCTTCCCACAAAGCAGATTGCCTAAGGGTTACCCACGTATTGGTTAGAAGGGAAAAGACATGTCCTGTGACAGGCCAGCTCATCTCAGAGGGCATCCATCCCCTGCGCGGGGGCCAGGGGCCCTGGAAGGTCTCCTGTATCTGATGGGGGCAAGGCCGGCGGGAGGCACAGGGGTTCAGCGTGTCCATCAGTAAATACACACGTGGCTGCTTTCGTCACAGGAGCACGCTACGGCCGGGCTGGCAAAAGTCTGATCCCCTCACCAGGGATAC